TTGCTTTGCTAGCATTCCTCTACGTGTTTCGAAGATTTTGAATGAGATGACCTAATATTTCGTGTCGGACACATTTCAAGTCATGTGGGATGGTTTTCAAGTCAAATTGGGCAGTTTTCAAATCAAATGGGTGGGAAGATATGCCTCCAGATAGGCGTGCAATGTGATTGGATTGAAGTAAAAGGTATCACGATGGATAGACAATCGTTCATTTTGATTTGCGAATCATACTGTTCTATTTGTAGTGTCCAAATCAAAAGCGAAAAAGGTATGGATATGGCCGGCGCTATTTGTCCCTTACTGCCCAGCCTCCTACCTATTTAGGGATAGGATTGAGTGGAACTCGGAGAATAGTTGGCTTGAAACTTTTCCCCTGACCGAGTTTGTCTCCCTAGACGCGAATGTCCAATCCGCTTGCCTCGAAACCGCCGGTGATGCGTGATAGGCACCAGTGCCAGAACACCCTAAATACCGAACGCACTGAAGATTCGATCCAGTAGGTCTGACCCCACGTCTACTGCAAAGGTTCGAACATATTTACTGCTAGGAAAAATCCCCACTGAAATGTGGCCTAAATTCCGAAGTGTAGGGCAGTAAAGGGCTAATAGTGCCATACAATCTTATCGTATCCTTCGCAATTCTGTTTTAAGAGGTGAAGTCTGGTACCACTGAAGACGACCTAACTATGAAGTTGTCTGAAATCATTCTTATTAATGATGTACTTCAAAAGCACAAGAAAGATGGGGCACCAATGAAAACGGTTACGGAAACATGGGACCATTTACAGGTGAGTGAAATAAGTCTGTTTCAAATACAGTCGTTATTGAGTCCAACCGCGGCGTTTTCACCACTAGTTCTATTTTTCCTGAATCGAATGAGTTCAGGAAGCCGGGTGCATACAGTACCCCGGAAAATTGCGCGTGAAATTGATTATTGTTGGCGTGATGGCCATGATGGCACAACGGGTCGCGAGACGGCTTCGCCTGTTCAGATTGAGCGCGTGGATTACGGTAACCTGGCGCATGCAAGCACCTGTCGGATAACATATAATGGGCTACTGAACATACCTCAAACAGTGGGTTACGGTGTGCCCGATTGTGTGCGTTTACGACGACACATTCTTAACTTCACGAGCAAATTTCTGGGGTATTGGGTGCACCCAGACTTCCTGAATCTAGGATCTTGTTCCTGACGCCACCCCGACTGACTGCGGCGATATTGACTATATGTTTGCTGGTTCTTAAATGCAACCTCTTCATCTTCCTCTGTATTCTAGATCCAGGTTGCCTTGTACTTCAACAGTGAACTTTTCCGGCCTGGTTCGAACAGCTACGTTCCGGCCTACCTCCTGAAGTACAACTCTCAGGGAGCGTGAAAACTTCCCTTTTTTCTTGTATAAATTGTACTTGTGCTTCTAAGGGTGTCAGATTCAGGCACTCCGCGGTTTTACTCAACGTCTTAAAGGTAAACAAGGACGATTCCGTGGTAATCTGTCGGGAAAACGAGTGGATTTTTCTGGAAGAACTGTAAGTTCACATTGTTCGTTTGGGTTTCGGTTTTCGATTCACTAGTTTGTGCTATTTATTGACTGCAGGTAATATCACCGGATCCAAATTTACGGATTGACGAGGTGGGCGTGCCGGTATATGTTGCGCTAACATTGACCTTTCCTGAAGTTGTTAACGCTTATCATGACGGGTTCGGACAATCATCCTGGTGCTAACTACGTTGTTGATCGTGTTACAGGAACAAAACGTCTATTGAAGTAAGTAGTAGTCTTTGACTGTCACAAATTGTTACTTGTCACGATAGGCGAGAGAGTGTTTATCAGGAACTATTTTTGCTTTGCTTCCATTTTTGTGCTTCCCTCCATCTCCTACACCAAAAGTCGCACTTGTTTAATCGCTTAAGGCAGTTGACACGATAAATCCCCAAGACGAGTAGGACCCATACGCCTGGCAGGACGGAATTCCGCGACCCTGAGCAGGCGCTGCGTAGCGCCTTTTCCAAGGAAGGTACCCTTATAAGGTCCTATCAAGCTACAACATACCGACCCGGACGCCCACCGCGCCCGCCCGCCCACAAATGGACGACCGTACCTGATGCTCGTATTGCTTCATTTGCGAAGTAAAATATGAAGCGAAGGGATTGATATGAAGCGGCTGCGGTGCTGCATGGATATATGAGTACATACGTGCAGCCGTATCTACCGTAGCGGTTATTGGCAAGATGCCTACGGGAAACTCGTCCGAAATTGTTTTTCAAGTCATTAAGGACGAAGGCTTTGCTCGCAGGTTTTCTTCGATTTTTCGCCATTTTTCCCCACTATTGAGCACCTTGCGACCATTTTATACCGAGTGCCAGATTATCATGCCATATGCCTTTATACCACTCAACGGTTAGAGGTCCGGGTATTGTTGGGGACATTAGGTTGTACCTATGGCTGCGAAAGAGCCGTTGCAAATGTTATCACGAACGCGGCATTCTCACAAGGACAAAAATGACTCAGGGTGACACTGTCGAAGGGTTTCTTACCAATCATCAAGGAATTACAGTGGTAGTTTTCGTGGCTCGGATGTCCTGAACTACACCTCAGAAACAATCTGTATACTATTAGGTTGTTCGAAAAGTAATGCGACACTTTGATTGAATTGTTCTAGAAAAAGAATCATTTTGGATGTTTTTATCCCTGATTAGTGGAGACTGTCCTCTGGGGTTTCTGCACATGGGTATATCATGACTTTGTGGAAGTTTTCAAAGCTTAAAAGTCCCTCAGAGATCGAGGTACTTTTCGACCTATCCCATATTATGAGTTCCTGTAGGGCCACTCCGCCGTAGTCGAGGAAGCTAACACTTACGTTGTCTTGAGGAAGGATATCGCTTGCCATGGCAGAGGGTAGCTTTTGCATCAGCGCTTCCAAGCTGGACTTATTTAATTCGGAGGTAGGCAATGTATAGGTCGGCCACCAGCACAGAATGACGGCCCTTTACTCAAGCTTCTTGAGGCGCAGCCGAACGTAACCACCAGTAAGTTGGCAACCTCTCTAGGCTCCACCTGACAACTGCCATGCTTCTCCGCAATCTCGGTTATCGGAAAATTTTTTGTGAAGGATGCCTCATGAGTTGGACCCGTCTGACAAGTCATACCGAATGACCGTGACTGAGTTTTCTTTTCCTTGTACACAGAAGAACATTTGTGAGATCTTGTGGTTGGTAGAGTGGTGGAGTCCTTGCGTACATCATGCACATGTCCCTCGCAGGATCTCTCAAACAGAAAAGTAGATTGCTTAGCCAAAAGCAGATGTGCATGGGATAAAGATTTCAGTGTGTTATTGGTGGGACTTCAAAGCGGTATCGCTGGATACTAGCACAGCTGTAAGGACCACAGCCAACCCCAA